TCGGCCTCCCAAAGTGCTGGGATTACAGGCATGAGCCACCACGCCTGGCCTCATCTTTTTTTTTATTTTTTCCAATACTTCTTTCTTTTTTCAGAGGCACACCTGTCTCTCCCCTTGAGTGGTGAGCAACTCATGGGCAGGAACTGAGTCCAACGGATATTCATGTGCCCGCACTGCTTCACGCAGCTCCAAGGGCAGGCCTCGAGGTTTGGGGTTTCAGAGCAGGGCCCCCAAGTCAGGTCCTTGGGAATTTGCATACTTACCAAGAGCTTCAATACTTACCTGTGGGGAGACTTTGGGTACTTAGCTGCTGTGTGACTTGGATGGTAAATTAGGACACTTAATAGTACCTGCCTGTGAGATTATATTTATTTTTTATCTTATTATTATTTTTTTGAGATGGAGTCTAGCTGTCACCCAGGCTGGAGTGCAGTGGCACCATCTTGGCTCACTGCAACCTCCACCTCCCAAGTTCAAGAGATTATCCTGCCTCAGCCTCCCGAGTAGCTGGGATTACAGCCTCCCAAGTAGCTGGGATTATCCGCCACCATGCCCAGCTAATTTTTGTATTTTTAGTAGAGACGGGGTTTCACCGTGTTGGCCAGGTTGGTCTCGAACTCCTGACCTCATGATCCACCTGCTTTGGCCTCCCAAAGTGCTGGGATTACAAGTGTGAGCCACTGCGCCCGGCTATTATTTTAGTTCATTTTGAGACAGGGTCTCACTACAGGCTGGAGTACAGTGGCATGACTGTGGCTTACGGCAGCCTCTACCACCCGGGTTTAAGCAATCCGTCTACCTTAGTCTTCCAAGTAGCTAGGACCACAAGTGTGTGCCACCATGCCTGGCTAACTTTTTTGAAATTTTTGTAGCAACAAAGTCTCATTATTTTGCCCAGGCTGACCTCGAATACCTGGCCTCAAGCAATCCTCCTGCCTCAGCCTCCCAAAGTACTGGCATGACAAGGATGAGCCATGGTACCTGACCTATTTTTTTTTTGAGACAGTTTTGCTCTGTGGCCCAGGCTGAAGTGCAATGGTGTGATCTCACTCACTGCAACTTCTGCCTCCCAGGTTCAAGCGAGTCTCATGAATCAGCCTCCCAAGTAGCTGGGATTATAGGTATGTGCCATCATAGACAGCTAATTTTTGCATTTTCAGTAGAGATGAGGTTTCATGATGTTGCCCAGGCTGGTCATGAGCTTCTGATCTCAGGTGATCCACCCACCTTGGCCTCCCAAAGTGCTGGAATTACAGGATGTAATATTCTTTTTTATTTTTAAGATGGAATCTCGCTCTGTTGCCCAGGCTGGAGTGCAGTGGCACGATCTCCGCTCACAGCAATCTCCACCTCTCGGGTTCAAGTGATTCTTCTGCCTCAGCCTCCCGAATAGCTGGGACTACAGGGGCATGCCACTACGCCCAGCTAATTTTTGTATTTTTAGTAGAGATGGGGTTTCACCACGTTGGCCAGGATGATCTCAATCTCCTGACCTCATGATCTGCCCCCCTTGACCTACCAAAGTGCTGGATTACAGGTGTGAGCCACTGCACTCAGCCCTATATTTCTTTTTTCTTTTGAGATGGAGTTTCGCTCTTGTTGCCCAGGCTGGAGTGCAATGGCGCGATCTTGGCTTACTGCAAGCTCCACCTCCTGGGTTCAAGCGATTCTCCTGCCTCAGCCTCCAGAATAGCTGGGATTACAGGCATGTGCCACCACACCCAGCTAATTTTTTTTTTTTTTTGAGGCAGAGTTTCACTCATGTTACCCAGGCTGGAGTGCAATGGCGCGATCTCGGCTCACCGCAACCTCCGCATCCTGGGTTCAGGCAATTCTCCTGCCTCAGCCTCCTGTGTAGCTGGGATTACAGGCACGCGCCACCATGCCCAGCTGATTTTTTTTTTTGTATTTTTTTTAGTAGAGACGGGGTTTCACCATGTTTACCAGGATGGTCTCGATCTCTTGACCTAGTGATCCACCCGCCTCGGCCTCCCAAAGTGCTGGGATTACAGGCTTGAGCCACCGTGCCCGGCTTTTTTTTTTTTTTTTTTAGTAGAGATGGGGTTTCTCCATGTTGGTCAGGCTGGTCTCGAACTCCTGACCTCAGGTGATCTGCCCACCTTGGCCTCCCAAAGTGTTGGGATTACAGATGTGAGCCACCGCATCCAGCCCTGTAATATTTTTTATAATAAACCAATAGACAGAAACTCTGGCCCAGCCCCCAGGTCTAAAGCTCAGCTCCTTCGTCCTGCTTGGGTCTCACCCTGTCCCTACCCCCTACCCAGTGCGCAGACCCCTCTCATACCTGTAGAAGTCGTCCAGGCAGTACACCTCGTTCTGGCTGCCCAGGGCAAAGCTCTCATCCCCGATGCACCGGGAGCAGGTCACACACGTGAAGCAGGAGGGGTGGAAGGCCTGGCCCAGGGCCCTGATGATGTGCTCCTGGACCACCTCGCCACACTTGCCGCACTTCTCCAGCGTGTCCTGGGACAGAGGCTACTGCCAGAGCCATCCACAGCACACCCACCCCAAGCCACAAGGGTTGCCTTCTTCTGGGAGGCTACCCTCGGGGGCCCAGGAGCTAGGAAGTACAGGAGAGGCCTGCAGACAGCCCGTGACTATTGCCTAAAACCTCCACCTTTGATTTTTTTTTTTTTTTTTGAGACGGAGTTTCGCTCTCACCCAGGCTGGAGTGCAATGGCGCGATCTCGGCTCACCGCAACCTCCGCCTCCTGGGTTCAGGCAATTCTCCTGCCTCAGCCTCCCGAGTAGCTGGGACTACAGGCACGCGCCACCATGCCCAGCTGAATTTTTGTATTTGTACTAGAGATAGGGTTTCACCATGTTGACCAGGATGGTCTCGATCTCTTGACCTCGTGATCCACCCGCCTGGGCCTCCCAAAGTGCTGGGATTACAGGCTTGAGCCACCGCACCCGGCCTCCACCTTTGATTATAACAAATTGAGCTTAGTCTTGCATCCTTGGCTTACAGCAAGGAATACTGCTCTGATGCTATGACTGCCTTTCTTGTTACTGGGATATATTTATGGCCAGGGTCCACAGACAGCATAGGAGAAACCTCTCTTAAAAACCTCAGGGTCAGGAAAAAAAATTCTTAGGACAGTTGGCGTGCTTTTGTCATACAGACAATAAGCCAAATGGCTCTGAGCTTCCAAGTGGCCAAATGGAAAAGGGAAAGAATTTCAAGGTTTATTGTCTGTATGATTCCATAGGAATCATTATAGGGCTTTTTTGTTACTTGGTTTTCGTTTTGTTTTATTCTGGGACACAGCCTCACTCTGTTACCAAGGTTGAAGTGCAGTGGCCCAATCTCAGCTCACTGCAAGCTATGTGAGGTTCAAGTGATTCTCAAGCCTCCTGAGTATCTGGGACTACAGGTGTGTGCCACCACGCCCAGCTAGTTTTTGGTATTTTTTGTAGAGATGGTGTTTCACCATGTTGGCCAGGCTGGTTTCGAACTCCTGACCTCAAGTGATCCACCTGCCTTGGCCTCCCAAAATGCTGGGATTACAGGCGTGAGCCACTGCATCTGGCCTCCTCACACATTTGGGTAGTAATATTCCCTCTGATCTCGTCTCGTTTTCTATTTTAATTTTCATTCTGTTTAGATGATTTTATTTAGTTTACATATCATAGTATTACTGCAGTCTTTAAAAGAATTGTTTTATTGGGGGAAGAACACTTAACATGAGATCTACCTTTTTTTTTTTTTTGATATGGAGTCTTGCTCTGTCACCCAGGATGGAGTGCAGTGGCATGATCTTGACTCACTGCAGTCTCCGCCTCCCGGGTTCAAGCGATGCTCCTGCCTCAGCCTCCTGAGTAGCTGGGATTACTGGCATGCACCACCATGCCCGGCTAATTTTGTACTTTTAGTAGAGCCGAGGTTTCTCCATGTTGGTCAGACTGGTCTCAGACTCCCATCCTCAGGTGATCCACCTGCCTTGGCCTCCCAAAGTGCTGGGATTACAGGCATGAGCCACCACACCTGGCTGAGATCTACCTTAACAAATTTTTCAGTGCACCACATTAGTGGTCTATAGGTATATATGCATTCTTTTTAAAAACATATTTTAATAAAAAATAAATATTTGAAAATAGAGATGGAATCTTGCCATGTTGTCCAGGCTGGTCTTGAACTCCTGGTCTCAAGTAATCCTTCCACCTCAGCCTCCCAAAGTGCTGGGATTGCAGGTGTGAGCCACTGCACTGGCTGGTATATATGCACTCTTAGAAGCTGCCTCAAATTCCTTCTGGAATGAGGAGGAATGACAGAGAGATTGCTGAGCCAGAGCAGTGGGCCTCCCTCTAGCCTTTCCACCTTTTCTCCTGGACATGCTGTCCCTCCTTCCTGGCTGTGCTTCTGCGCATTTTAACTTGACCCCACCTGGACAGATATGGGGGGCAGCAGTTCCTGCTCCCTCCCTCCCTCTCATGGGCATGGCCCTTCTCTTCCTAGCACACTGCTCAAGTCTTCCTCCTGGCTGCTTCCAGCTGGAAACCCCTCCTCACCCCTCCTACCTCAGTGTCTCACCCCTGAGCGACACTCCCCCGTCATGTTGATGGGGCCACAGGGACAGGGCAGGAGGGCCTGGCTCCTCTCTCCTCCCACAGTGCCTCACTGGTGGTGAGCCTGGGATCGGATTATTTGGATTCTTCTGGAAAGTCTCAGCTCCAAACACCCTAGACCCTCAAATCGGCTGTTCTCCTTCCCTTCTCCCCTCCGTCCTTCCTTCCTTTTCTGAGATGCAGTCTGGCACTGTCGCCAGGGCTGGAGTGCAGTGGCATGATCTCGGCTCACTGAAACTTCTGTTTCCCGAGTTCAAGCAATTCTCCAGTTTCAGCCTCCTGAGTGGCTGGGATTACAGGCGACTGCCACCACGTCCAGCTAATTTTTTTTTTTTTTTTTTTAAGTAGAGATGGGGTTTCACTATGTTAGCCAGGCTGGTCTCAAACTCCTGACCTTGTGATCCGCCCGCCTTGGCTTCCTAAAGTGCTAGGATTACAGGCGTGAGTCACCGCATCTGGCCAAATCAGCATTTTCAAACTTCCATATGCATGAGAATCACTTGAGACACTTGTTCAAAATGCAGATTTCCAGGTGTTCCTCATTCCTAAGAACAAGGAGTGACCTACACACACCCAGAGGACCCGGCTATGGGTGGTCACCACACTCAACATGCCACCACAAACCATCCAAGAGTTAGAAATTCCAATATGCTGGCATCCCAACCAGCTCTCCCAGATTGCAAGTGGTACCCAGACACGACACAGATTCCGGTGACATCAGCGTTGGAACCTTATGGCTCCAGGGGAGACAGTGACAAGACTGATGGCAGGCTCCAGAGCCAGACAGGAGCAAAATCCCAGCTCCTTGGCCACTTCATGTTACCTCGTGTGGTAGCTAAGAGATGTCCCCAGAGATATCCAGGTCCTTACCTCTGGACCCTGTGAATGTTACCTTGCCCAGCAAAAGAGGCTTTCAGATGATCCATAAGTTAGGCTCTTAAGATGGGGAGATTATCCTGATTATCCAGGTGGGTCCTAAATACCATCATAGTGTCCCTCTAATTTGACACAGCAGTGGCCACACGGCCGCCGAGGTGGGATGTTACACTGCTGTCTTTGAAGGTGGAGGAAGGAGCCAAGGAGACTGCAGCTGTAGGAACTTACAAAGGGACAGGTGCGGTGGCTCACGCCTGTAACCCCAGCACTCTGGGAGGCCGAGGTGGGTGGATCACCTGAGGTCAGTAGTTCAAGGCCAGTCTAACCAATATGGAGAAACCCCATCTATACTAAAAATACAAAATTAGCCGGGCATGGTGGTGCATGCCTGTAATCCCAGCTACTTTCGAGGCTGAGGCAGGAGAATCACTTGAACTTGGGAGGCAGAGGTTGTGGTGAGCCGAGATCACGCCATTGCACTCCAGCCTGGACAACAAGAGTGAAGCTCTGTCTCAGAAAAAAGAAAAGAAAGAGAGAAGAGAAGAAGAGAAGAGAAGAGAAGAGAAGAAGAGAGGAGGGGAGGGGAGGGGAGGGGAGGGGAGGCGAGGGGAGGAGAGGAAAACTGCAAAAGGGGCTGGGTGCAGTGCTCCCAGCATTTTGGGAGGGCGAGGGGGTAGATCCCTTGAGGTCAGGAGTTCGAGACCAGCCTGGCCAACATGGTGCTGTCTCTACTAAAAACACAAAAATTAGCCAGGTGTGGTAGCGGGCTACTTGAGAGGCTGACACATGAGAATCACTTGAACTCAGGATGCACAGGTTGCAGTGAGCCAAGATTGCATGACTGCATTCTAGCCTGGGTGACATGGCAAGCCTCTGTCTCAAAACAGAAGACACTGCAAAAGGCAGAGAGATTTGGATTCTCGCCTCAAGCCTCCAGGCAGCATACCACCTTGATTGTGGCCCGGTGAAGCTGACTGTGGGCTTCTGACCTCCAGAATTGGGACAGAATAAACGATTATTGTTGGAAGCCACCAAGGTTGTGATGATCTCTTACAGGCAGCCCTAGGAAACTAATCACCTTCGCTGGGCTCCTTCTTTCTGAGCCTGCTTTCTCATCTGTGAAAGGGGTCAATAGTGCCTACTTCCCAGGATCATGGGGGAATGAAATAGTGCAACGTCTCCTAAGTACCCAGCTCAGTGCCTGGCACCCAGAGATCTGCTGCAGGGGTTACCTGGTAGCAGGGTTCGCAGAGGGGTCTCCCATCCTTCTGGTAGAATCTCTGCCCAGCCAGCTGGCGGCGGCAGGTGCGGCACATGAAGCACTGGGCATGGTACTGCTTCTTCATGGCCTCCACAGCCAGCTCTCGGGGGGACACGGTCTTGTGGCAGAAGGCACAGACGTCTGGGGTAGGGGAGACAGGCCATCACCAGCCCAGCCTGTGAGGACTGTACTCGGGCACCACCCAGAACATGTCTAGGGAACCCGAGGCTCTGTCTCAAACCCTGCAAATCCCTCAACTGACAAATACAGAGGGTTGTGAGGAGCATTTATTTTTTTTATTTTTTGAGATGGAGTTTCACTCTTGTTACCCAGGCTGGAGTGCAATGGCGCGATCTTGGCTCACCGCAACCTCTGCCTCCCGGGTTCAGGCAATTCTCCTCTCTCAGCCTCCTGAGTCGCTGTGATTACAGGCACGCGCCACCATGCCCAGCTAATTTTTTGTATTTTTAGTAGAGATGGGGTTTCACCATGTTGACCAGGATGGTCTCNTTCAGGCAATTCTCCTGCCTCAGCCTCCCGAGCAGCTGGAACTACAGGCACGCGCCACCATGCCCAGCTAATTTTTTGTATTTTTAGTAGAGATGGGGTTTCACCATGTTGACCAGGATGGTCTCAATCTCTTGACCTCGTGATCCACCTGCCTCGGCCTCCCAAAGTGCTGGGATTACAGGCTTGAGCCACCGCGCCTGGCCTGTGTAAACATTTTAAATGGAATTTAGGTATAAAGGAGAAAAGGCTAAGGTGATACAAATTAAATGTACGCCCAACTGCAAAGCCCATCATTGTCATGCAAGCTGGGGCGGGGATGGGAAGGGGGCCCTCACTCTCCTCACCTGGAAGCGCACACAGGCCCCATGAGGTCGCCTCGGAATCCTCCCAGCCCTGTACACCTACCTGTGGACGCCTCTCTCTCAACAGGCTCTGCTGGAGGAGGTGGCAGCTCTTCCTCCACGGGCCTGAGGGGACCGGGCCCAGGCTGGACTGAAGGTACCTCTGCCAGGGCCTGTGGGGATGCAGAGGGGGAGTCGCCCAGTGAGGACCCCATGCAGCGCCCCTAGCTCTGTTCCTCATCTGGGTGGCAACAAGTACAATTAGCCCCAGTGCACTGAGAAGGGAACTAAGGCCTAGGGAGGTGGAGGTTTCCGTGAGCCAAGATCACGCCATCGCACTCCAGCCTGGGCGACAAAGAGAGATTTCATCTCAAAAAAAAAAAAAAAAAAAACAGGTTCCCTGTGCAGCCTAAGGGATTTAGGTCAGACTCGGGGAAACATCTTCCTCAGAGCTGAAGCAGGTGTCTGAGGGGAGCTGCAGGGAGGGAGTGCATGGCAGCCTCTCCCGGGACTGTGAAACACTCAACCAATTTTTACCTGACTGAATAGGGACTCCTGAAAGCTTCAAAGAATGAATGCCCCTGAGCAGATGAATGGACCAGACAACAACCAGGTTTAGAACCCCTGAATGCTCAGAAGGCCCAGACTCCCCATCCCCCAACCCAGGGGACCAAGGGATTGCTGAAGAGGGCAGTACCTGTGGTGGGGGTGGGGGCAGGGGCAGGTGCAGCTGTTCTGAGTCTGCAGTGAGTGAGGCGCCCATTGGAGCAGGAGCCTCCTCTTCAGAAGGCAGGAGTGCTGGAGGGGGCGGTGGAGGGGGTGGGAGGAGGTCCAGATCGGGAAGTGCGTCCTTGCCATCCGGGACAGGAGGAGGGGGTGGGCATCCTACAACTGGGGAGGAAAGGGCTGGTCAGAGCCTCCCAGGTGGACAGGGGAGGGTTTTACTTACCCACATGGCCATATGGAGGGTAGCTAAGGGCTCAGGTCCGGGGTCACCCTGGCCTGGGTTCCATCTCTAACTCTGTCACTGATTTGCTGTGTGTCCTTAGGCAAGAAACTTAATCTTAGGTCAGGTGAGGTGGCTCATGCCTATAATCTCAGCACTTTGGGAGGCCGAGGTAGGCAGATCGCTTGAGCCCAGGAGTTCAAAAGCAGTCTGGGCAGGATAGTGAGACCTTAACTCTACTAAAAAACAAAAAACAAATGTAGCCAGGCATGGCAGCCTGGCCATGTAGTCCCAGCTACTTGGGAGACTGACATGGGAGGATCCCTTAAGCCCAAGAGATCAAGAGATTGAGGCTATAGTGAGCTAAGATCACACCACTGCACTCCAGCCTGGGTCACAGAGGGAGACTCTAAAAAAAAAAAAAAAAAAAAAAAAAAAAAAAAAAAAAAAAAAAAAAAAAAAAAAAAAAAAAAAAAAAAAAAAAAAAAAAAAAAAAAAAAAAAAAAAAAAAAAAAGGCCACATGCCGTGGCTCATGCCTATAATCCCAGCATTTTGGGAGGCTGACGCGGGCAGATCATGAGGTCTGGAGTTCAAGACCAGCCTGACTAACATGGTGAAACTTTATCTCTACAAAAAATACAAAAATTAGCCGGGTGTGATGGTGTGTGTGTGTAATCTCAGCTACTTGGGAGGCTGAGGCAGGGGAATCGCTTCAACCCAGGAGGTGGAGGTTGTAGTGAGCAGAGATCACCCCACTGCACACCAGCCTGGGTGACAGAGCCAGATCCTGTCTCAAAAATAAATAAATAAATAATAAAATAAAAAAATTAAAAAAGAATAAATAAAAGAAAGAAAAAGGAAACATAGTCTCTCCGCTCTGAGTCTTATTTCGTTCAGCGGAAAAATGGGCATCAGTCCCTTAGGCTGCTGAGGATGAAATGAGATGACACACAGTGAGTGGCACATGTGGCTAGGGCTCAGAGAACAGCAGCTGTGAATGTCCTGCTCAGCAAGCCCCCGCCACGGGGCCTGAGTGCTCAAGAGTGCCCCAGACCACCTGCCAGAGGCCCTCTTGGTAACAGAAGCGTAACTGACCCCCAAGGCTGTGGCTCTCCCAGCATGACCCCTGTAGTGACAGCAGCAGCATGACCCGGGAGCTTGTCAGCAATGCAACTTCTCCGCCTGCCCCTGACCTGCAGAATTGGAAACCCAGGAGCTGGGGCCAGCCACATGGACCTTAAGAAGTCCTCCAGGTGATGCTGATGCTGCTCAAGTGTAGGAACAGTGCACCACCCTAATTAAGTAACAGATCCAGGTCATGACCATCAGATGTTGAAAGCACTGGGGGAACGGTTCACGGGAAACTTCCCAAGGTGGGGTCAGGCTGTTGCCACTGAACCGACTTGTAGCCTTCGGCAGTCATGGAATGGCGGTCCTCCTGACTCATGTGACGCTATGGGAAGCTATGGCAGCTAGAAAATGTTCTTCAACAAACAAACAAAACCCCTCCATCTAATCGAGTCTCTGGAGTTAACTTCCATTAACAGATTCGGGAGGTAGAGGGGGAAGTTAAATGAGAACATGGGGAAGCAAAGGGACGAAACCGGCAGGCGGGATTTCTACAAAAACCGATCTTGTTTCTGTAACAAGCCCATGGCATGAGGGAGAAAAACAGGGAGGACTGCCCCCGAATTAAGAGACTTAAGAGAAAAATGCATAGATTTGTGCTGTCCAATGTAGTGGCCACTAGCCACATGTGGCTACTGATGACTGGAAACGTGGAGAGACCACACTGAGCTGTGGTAGATGTCTTAGCACGCAAAAAAGCACCCCATCCTGGGACCACAGGCACCCACCAACACACCCAGCTATTCTTTTGTATTTTTACTAGAGACAGGGTCTTGCTATGTTGCCCAGGGTAGTTTTGAACTCTTGAGCTCAAGCGATCTGTCCACCTTGGCCTCCCAAAGTGCTGGGACTGCAGGCATGGGCCACTGCACCTGGTCTAAATGGCATTTTTATGACAATCAGGGAAACTTAATTTTGGACAAAGTACTAGATATGCAGCATGCATTTTTGTTAAATGTGGCACTGTTTGGCCCTGTGGTTACGTAAGAAAATGGCTATATTTAGAAAGACAGCCCTGACCAATGTGGGGCTGAAACGCCACAATGATTCGGGTTTCCTTTAAAATACTTTACAAGGCTCACGCCTGTAATCACAGCACCTTGTGAGGCCGAGGCGGCCAGATCACGAGGTTAGGAGATTGAGACCATCCTGGCTAACACGGTGAAACCCTGTCTCTACTAAAAATACAAAAAATTAGCCAGGTGTGGTGGTGCGCACCCGTAGTCCCAGCTACTCAGGAGGCTGAGGCAGGAGAACTGCTTGAACCCAGGAGGCAGAGGTTGCAGTGAGCTGAGATTGGGCCACTGCACTCCAGCCTGTAGACAGAGCGAGGCTCTGTCTCAAAACAACAGCAACAAAAAACTATACAAAAGAAAAAGAAAAAAAGGAATAGAAACAAATGTGGTCAAGTCTCCATTACTGTTGACACCAGATGTAGGCGGCCGGGCGTGGTGGCTCATGCTTGTAATCCAAGCACTTTGGAGGCCAAGGCGGGCGGATCACCTGAGGTCGGGAGTTCAAGACCAGCCTGACCAACATGGTGAAACCCCGTCTTTAAAAAAAAAAGAAACCAGATGTAGGCTAGGTAGGGTCCTTGTACTGTTCTCTCTACTTCTGCATATGTTTGAAAGTTTCATAAAACCACACCTTCACATTCCGTGCTCACCCAGCCACCCATACCCCCAACACACCACAGACACCCTGGCACAAACTCACTTCCATTATTGGCACAGCTCTGCTCCTGCTCCCAGGAGCTGAGGTTGGCAGAATAGGAGGGCACAAGAGCTGCCCTTGATCCTGATGGCTAGTCAGGGGGCACAGACCCTCAGGGCTCCTGACAGGAAGGGAGGTGGGGGGCTCAGCTCCAGGCTCTTTCCTCCATCCAGGGACCATCAATGCTATAACTGCCCCACCCCCCATGCCAGGCTTCCCCAACAAGGGGTTGCCTGGAGCCCCTGGAAGGCAGGAGGGAAGCCTCAGAGGGAGGCTGGGACCATGCCTGTGAAAGCCCTCTGTCTACTGCCCATATTGGGTGGGCACTGTGAATAGTGCCCTGGGGAGAAAACGGCACTCTGCCTACCTCCTGGTATAGGTAAGGCCAGGCCCAGGAGCTCAGCCTAACTGAGATGATTGTGGAAAGCAGATAGAAAGTGCTAGAGACCCCTGAACGTCCAGGCCTGGCTGTAGCCCAATCTCCAGTTCATTCATGGGGGCACCCTCCAGGCTTCAGGTTTCTCATCCGTTCAATCAAGACAACCTCCCGCTCCCCGCCTCTCCCTGGGCTTGGAGGGATGTACAGATGGGAAGTTGGCTCTATGCCTGTGGTCCTCACACTTGAGCTGGTGACAGAATCCCCTAGGGGATGGGGGCCTTGCTCAAAGGCAGATCGCTGGGCCCCAACCCCAGAGTTTCTGATCCAGCAGATCCAGGACAATGAGAATGTGTGTGTCTGATGAGTTCCCAGGTGACACTGATGCTGCTGGCCCAGGGGCCACACTCTGAGACAACTGTCCCAGTCCCAAAGTCCCACCTGCTTGACACCACTGAACTACAATAACGGTTCTCCTTTTTTTTTTTTTTGAGATGGAGTCTTGCTCTGTCACCCAGGCTGGAGGGCAGTGGTGCGATCTCAGCTCACAGCAACCTCTGTCTCCTGGGTTTAAGTGATTCTCCTGCCTCAGCCCCCCAAGTAGCTGGGACTACAGGCATGTGCCACCCCAACCAGCTAATTTTTTTGTATTTTTTAGTAGAGATGGGTATTTAGATATGTTGGCCAGGCTGGTCTCGAACTCCTGACCTCAGGTGATCCGCCCACCTCGGCCTCCCAAAGTGCTGGGATTACAGATGTGAGCCACTGTACCCGGCCTAGAATAACAGTTGTTAAAGTGTGGTCCCCAGACCAGAGCATCAGCATGGCCTGGCAAGGGGCAAGAAATGCAAACTGGGCCGGGTGTGGTGGCTCATGCCTGTAATCCCAGCACTCTGGGAGGCCGAGGCGGGCAGATCACTTGAGCCCAGGAGTTTGAGATCTGCCTGGGCAAGATGGCAAAAACCTGTCTCTACAAAACATACAAAAATTAGCTGGGCATGGTGGTGAGGGCTTGTGGTCCCAGCTCTGGGGAGGCTGAGGTGGGAGGATCACTTGAGCCAGGGAGGTTGAGGCCACAGTGAGCCACGGCCACACCACTGCACTCCAGCTTGTGTGACAGAACAAGACCCTGGAAAAAAAAATGTGCAAATTTTCGGGCCCCACAGCAGACCTGCTGAATCAGAGCTACCCGGGGTGGGAGCCGGCGGCTGTGTTGGAACAGGCCTGGGCGACACTGCTGCTGACACCGCGGAAGTGTGGGAACCAGGCTCCGATGAGCTCACAGAGCCAGAAGCCAGGTCTTGGAGAGGCAGTGAGAGTGCTGTGGCCTCTCCCAGTGCCTGCCCCCAGTGTAGGGCCCACAGAGGGCAGCAGGAATTCAAGAGAGACGCAGGGCGACCTGAGGCCACAGGGCAGGTGGGCAGAAAGGGGGTCCAGGACCCGCCTGAAGATGACTAAGACGACAAGTACTAGGCAGATGGCAGCTGGCAGCCTGTGGTGTAGATGGCTTCACGCAGCTGGCCAGGGCCAGCCTTTGTGTCCTGAGATCAGACCAGGAGCATGACAAGCTGCTCACATAAAACTATCTCACAGGCTGGGTGAGGTGATTCACAACTGTAATCCTAGCATTTTGGGAGGCCGAGGTGGGCAAATCACCTGAGGTCGGGAGTTGGAGACCAGCCTGACCAGCATGGAGAAACTCTGTTTCTACTGAAAATACAAAAAATTAGCTGGGCATGGTGGTGCACGCCTGTAATCCTAGCTACTTGGGTGGCTGAGGCAGGAGAATGGCTTGAACCTGGGAGGCAGAGGTTGCGGTGAGCCGAGATCACCCCACTGCACTCCAGCCTGCACAACAAGAGCGACTCTGACTCAAAAACAAAACAAAAAAACCACTATCTCTCTTCAGGGAGACTGAACCCCAAATCCCCATGCTCTGCTTGAGGGCATCAAATTGGCAGATGAAACAGCCAACTAGCCGTGCTGACCAGTGACAGGCCAGCCCTTCCCAAGGCAAGTTTGTTCTTGTTCCCACACTCCCAAGATCCTCTTCCTGTAATCCCAATAACCCATGAAAATGTCCTGGAAATTCTGACATCTAACCTCTACTTTCCCCCGCTCCCTTGACCACCCAGAAGGGGCACATCTTTTTTTTCCTGTTGGATCACATGTCCTGATGTGTGAATTTTGTCAAGATGACCCTCCTATAAGGAGAGGTGGCTGGGAGGACCCTCTGTTCTTGGGATGTGAGATTAGGAAGGAAAGATCAACGTGGGAGCATCCATCACAAGGAGGAAGCATGTTCCATGGACACCCAGGCGTACTTGAACCTGTGTGGCCCCCTGTATTGACCCTTTTCTGGCTTCCTGTACTCAGCACTTCCTATTGGCCGCTAGGTGATTTCCATAGTGATGATGGACAGGGCTGCCCCCGCCCTGCTCCAGGACAGCAGGACACCCGCCTAGGCACCTGGGGGATTCAGGGACTTAGCTGCCTCCCTGGGCTGGCCTTTGCCCCTTAGCATCTCAGCCAGTCCCCTGTCAGCTGATGAGCCAACACCTGCCCCAGGCCCTGGACTGTCACCCTTCCTCACTCCTGCCCCACCTGATAGCTGAGACTTTCCTTGGGAGACACAGGGAAGAAGACTGGAAGGCTCTTCCTGTCCGACCAAGCCCAAGGGAATGGAACAGTCATTTGTGCTGTATTCATTTTGTGATTGATGATCACATCCACACCCGAATTTCCAGTTTCCAGAAGAGGACCCTGAGGCCCAGAGCAGGAGAGGGCTCGCTCCAATCACACAGCAAGAGAACAGCAGAGCCCAGGAGAAAACAAAAGCAGGTCAAAGACCCTTCACCTACCAAATTCCCTCCTGTCTCAGGCCTCTGCACTGCTCCTCGGACTTTATCTCTCCCTGGCCAGCTCCATGCTATCGTTCAGGTTTCAGCTGAAATTCCACCTCTTCAGAGAAGCCATCCCGAGCACCCTATAAAAGCTGCCCCTTGGCTGGGCACAGTGGCTCATACCTGTAATCCCAGCACTTTGGGAGGCCAAGGTGGGCAGATCACCTGAGGTTAGGAGTTCAAGACCAGCCCGGACAACATGGCAAAACCCTGTCTCTACTAAAAATACAAAGATTAGCTGGGTGTGGTGGTGCATGCCTGTAATCCCAGCTACTCAGGAGGTGGGAGGCTGAGGCAGGAGAATCGCTTGAGCCTGGGAGGTGGAGGTTGCAGTGAGCCAAGACCATGCCACTGCACTCCAGCCTGGGCAACAGAGTGAGACTCCATTTCAAAACCAACAAACAAAAAAGCTGGCCCTCATCACCTCTCCACACTTTACTCTATGAGAGTGCATGTGTCTGCCCAACATCAGAGGTCATATTTTCATTATGTGTGCTCCGCACACTGGGATGGAAGCTTTGTTCAGGCTCAAAACCTCTCAGCACTTCCTTCGTGACACGCCCAAGGCTAAACACTTTACAGGGGGATTAACTCATTTGATCCTCATAATCACACTGAGGGAGGTACTGTCTTTATCTGTTTTACAGATTAGTAAACCAAGGTACGAGAGGTTAAGTGGCCTGCCAGCATCACCCAGCTGAGAAATGGAGAAGCGGGGTTTGTACCCAGACAAGTGGGTTCCAGAATCTGCCTGGCACTTGGTAGGACTGAATGAATGAATGAATGAATGATGCTGGAGCCTGCCCTTTCCTCCCCACCTCTGTCTCTGACCTGGTCTTCCCCCAAGTCCCCTCCGCTCTTACCTCCATTGGAGAGCTGCAGAGGTGCAGCTGGCACTGTGGCTGCAGCCTTGCCAGGGGGTTTCCAGGGGCTGGGCCTCCCTGCCAAGTCAGCCCCTGGTGCTTTCATGGGGGCAGGGGCCTTCCAGGGGCGGCCATGCCGGGCCTCACAAACCGCCTGGCTCACTTCCTTGGCCACAGTTACATGGCGGCGCGTGGGTGCCAGGGTGATAAAGACAGACGATGCCATTCTCTTCTCAGGCTTTGAGGCCATGGCTTCAGCTCCTGGTGTGGCTAGGGACAGAATGGGGGACGGCACAGGATTGCCACCCGGACACACAGACACCCTCCCCCGAGGGGCAGAGAGCCTCCTTCCCCCCAAAAAGACAGGTCAGCCACCCCACCATGCCAACAACCCAGTCCGGCACCCAGCCCAGCCACAGAGGGGATGGGGGTGTCCTACTGGGGAGGGCAGGGGCCCACCAGGGGACTTGGCCACAGGGGTGAGACCCCAAAATCCTGACTGCCCCTCCCCCCAACCTTCACACCAAGGGGCGCAAAGGGCACAGATCACCTCACCAGGCACTACCAGCCTGGAGCCCCACCTGCCTGCTGGGCCACACCCCAAGCTACCTCCCTCACCTGGGATCTGATTCTCCTGGAAAGGCCGAAGTCCGGGAGGTTCAAGCCAGCTCCACTTTGGGAGGGAAAAAGAACCGATTAGGATCTGTCAGAGTGTCAGGGCTGGGCTCCAGCGGTGGTGGGGGGCGGTGGCAGGGTGGGCGGGACGCAGTGAGAGCTATCTTCACCAAGACCTGATTTGCCCTGAGCACGTTATGGTCGTTAACTCATAAACTCTCATCAGGGGCTTCGTGGCAGGCACTGTAATCGCCCGCCTAACACATCAAGAATCGAGACTCAGAGAGAAGTCACTGTTCAGGGTCACACGGTGGTGAGGTGGCACTGGAACCCAGAGCCCATGCTCTTGGCCACTTTACTCTGCCTTGCCCTCTCGGCCTGGCGCACGAGCCAGCACCCTCCTTGCTTGCCTTCTAGTGCCGGAATCTCTCACTCCACCCAATCTCCAAAACCCTGGTCCTGGTTCAGGCCTGGGCAGGGGGCAGCGGGCAAGGGGAGAGATGGGGGTGCTCCACAGCCTCTGATCTCACCTCCTAACCCTAAAGATTGATGTTTCTAGAACGTGCATACTTCTACTTCACTCCAGCCTGGGCAACAGAACGAGACTCTGTCTTAAAAAAAAAAGAAAAAGAAAAAAAATAATAAAAAATAAAAAAAAAAAGAAAAAGAAAAAAGGCCAGATGCAGTGGCTGATGGCTGTAATCCCAGCACTTTGGGAGGCCAAGGTGGGTGGATGACCTGAGGTTGGGAGTTCGAGACCAGCCAGTCTCACCAACATAGAGAAACGCCATCTCTACTGAAAATATAAAATTAGCCGGGCATGGTGGTACATTCCTGTAATCCCAGCTACTCGGAAGGCTGAGGTGGGAGAATCGCTTGAACTTGGGAGGCCGAGGTTGCGGTGAGTCAAGATCACACCATTGCACTCCAGCCTGGGCAACAAGAGTGATACAGTCTCAAAAAAGAAAATAAAAGAAAAAGAAAAAGAGCATGGCTTGAGGAAGAGGTCCAGTCGCTGCAGCCTCAGCTTCTTTGAGCCCCTGGACCACTCGTCCTTCCCATGTCCTGTCTCATGCCTTGGAGTGATTCTCCTATGGTTTTCCTCTCCTGCCCCCACAGGGTGAATTTCAGCTTTCTCTTAGAGGCCCAGCTCAAACATCACCTCCTCCACAAGGTCCTCCTGATTCCTGGCCCTCTCCAGGGGTGGTTTCTGCTGCCAAGGGCGATGACAGAGATGACAGCCCCCGGGCAGGACAGGCTGGCTCACAAGCTCACTATCAGTGTGTGTGACCTTCAGCAGTGCCTGCATTCTTTCTGTGCCTAGAGGGTAGCTCAGACTGCAGGCATCAAAGCACAGATCTGGCCGGGTGCAGTGGCTCAGGTCTGTAATCCCAGCACTTCTGAAGGCAGAGGCTGGGGATCACTTGAGGTCAGGAGTTAGAGACCAGCCTGGCCAACGTGGTGAAACACTGTCTCTAGTAAAAATACAAAATTTGGCCGGGCTCGGTGGCTCATGCCTGTAATCCCAGCACTTTGGGAGACCAAGGTGGGGGTGGATCACAACGTCAGGAGTTCAAGACCAGCCTGGCTAACATGGTGAAACCCCACCTCTACTAAAACTGTAAAGATTAGCTGAGTGTGGTGGTGGGCACCTGTAATCCCAGCTACTCAGGAGGCTGGGGCAGAGAACTGCTTGAATCCAGGAGGTGGAGGTTGCAGTGAGCTGATTGCTCCACTGCACTCCAGCCTGGGCAACAGAGGGAGGCTCAGTCTCCAAACAAACAAACACAAAAATTAGCCAGGCATGGTGGCTTGTACCTGTAGCTAATCAGGAGGCTAAGGCAGGAGAATCGCTGGAATCTTGGGAGGCAGAGGTTGCAGTGAGCTGAGATTGTGCCACTGCACTCCAGCCTGGGCGACAGAGGGAGACTCTGTCTCAAACAAACAAACAAAAACAAAACAAAGCAAAACAGATCTGAGAGCATGGTGGCACCCTGACATCCTGACGTAAGGAAAAGGGCATTATTTCCCATATGTCACGTAGTTCCTGCTGGCAGTAGCCTCTGTGGCCAAGGTTGAGGTGGGGACATGATAGGAGAATTGGGAGTCCAGGGAGCCCAGCAGTCCTCACCAGGCATGTAACACCCGTGCCCAGGGCTAAAACATGTCTCATTTTAGGTCGAGCACAATGGCTCACACCTGTAATCCCAGCTGTTCGAGACCAGCCTGGCCAACACGGTGAAACCCCGTCTCTACCAAAAATAACAAAATCTCCTGGGCGTGATGGCGAGTGCCTGTAATCCCAGTTACTTGAGAGGCTGAGGCAGGAGAATCGTTTGCACCTGGGAGGTGGGGGTTGCAGTGAGCTGAGATTGAGCCATTGCATTCCAGCCTGGATGACAGGGCAAGATTCCATTTCAAAAAAAAAAAAGTGTCCTTTTCTATCTCGCTCTTCAGGCTGTCCTTTGTGCACTGGCCACTGTGCGTTCTCAGCGACTGATGGATAATAAAAATCGTAGTACGTGCTCCTGAATTACTCTTAAGTTGGTTTATGTGTTTGGCTAAAACATATAGCCCAGTCTGATAATAAAGTATCTATTCTGAGAAAGAAACCAATATATTAGGAAAGAGCCTCAAAACTTATTTAAAAGTACTTCTCTTTTGCTCTGGGTTTGGCAATGATGTCTGGAAATACGTATGCTGTCATAGGCTTTAATTTTACACTTTGTTGTAAGTTTAAGAATCTATTTTTGTCAACAATATTCAGAGTGCATCTGAGATTTAAAGAAATACCAAACAACTCACTGATAAGGCACCAGGCCTTGTGCCAGGTACTACATGTGCCTCAAAATCCACCAACCTCTCAATCTAGCTGCAAGAAAGGCCCATCCTGGCCCCGCTTTGCAGATGGAGCCTATGAGGTCCCAAAAGGTTAAGTGACTTTCCCAGGCCATCATGGCTCTCGGAATTCTAATGGAATATCATCCCACCTGGAAATCCAGGGTGTCCCCATACCTGAGAGGACACACTTTTCCTTGGATGGCACAAGGCCCCCCAAGATGCCAGGCCTGTTCTCACTCTAGAATGACCCAATCCAGAAATCTCGTGGTCGGCAGGTTCTGGGCTGGTCCCCTGGGCTGCTGTGGGCCTTTGAGATGGCCCTCTGCCGCCTCCCACCCAGCCCTGACCCTTCCTCCACTCCTCCAGGAAGTCAGATATGCCTGGTTTCTCGGAAAATGTCCAGCACGGAGGCCAGATGTTCACAGCTGGGCAGCCCCAGCCCTCCCAAGCAGTGACTGCAGGGACCTCAGGCCCCAGGGGAAGGGACTGAGCTGGGGAGTTCCAAAACCCTGTCAATCCCATCGGGAAAGGGAGCTCCAGCTTCCCTCCGGTCCCACGGCCCCCCAATCAGCTGGGAGCAGGGTGTGTGGGGGGGGGGAGCAGCAGGATGTGTGTAAGTTCCCCAGGGGCGATCTCCTGTGCCCAGGGGACCCTCCGCCCCCACTCTTCCTCCAGGAGAGGGTGAATCAGAGATCCAGTTAGATAAGTGGAGAAAGTGGGAACAAAGGGAGGGAAAGTCATTTCCTGTCCAAAGTTAGGAAGGAGGTTGGGATCCAGCCAGCCACCCAGACCAGCTAGAGGCTGCAGCCTTGGGGCAGAGGATGTGCAGCTCAGCCCCTACCCCGCTTCCTACTCCTTATTCCCTACTCCAAAGAAAAAAAAAAAAAAAAAAAAATCTCCGGGACCACCTCTAAGCGTTGTTCTTTTTTCTTTCTTTCTTTGAGACAGAGTCTTGCTCCAGAGGCTGGAGTGCAGTGGTGCAATCTCAGCACACTGAAACTGCCTCCCAGGTTCAAGCAATTCTCCTGCCTCAGCCTCCCTTGTAGCTGGGACCACAGGCGTGTGCCACCACACTTGGCTAATTTTTGTATTTTTGGTAGAAACAGGGTTTCACTATGTTGGCCAGGCTGGTCTTTAACTCCTGACTTCAAGTGATCCGCCGGCCTTGGCCTCTGAAAGTGCTGGGATCACAGGAGCGAGCCACCACATCCGGCTTCAGCTTTGTTCTTTAATGACTGGATAAAGCAGTCTCCCTTTGGGTCCGGAATTAAACTTAGCCGGAGATGGGGATGGGGCGGGCTGTGCCCCAACTCCTCCCGCCTTGCAGCCTTAGGGAGAGGTTCCCTCAACCTCTCTCCCACCCCAGGGAAACAGAGGAGACAGAACTGGGTTCACAAGAGGCCCCACCTCTTTACTGCGGGGTGACCCCGCGCAGGTCACTGAACCTCTCTGGCCTCGTTCTTTTCATAAAGTGAGAATGAGTCTGTCCTGAAGGCGGCTGAGAGTATATAGAAGGAAAGAAGGCTCAGGATCGAGGCCCTTGGAAGGCGCAAAGGGAGGGTCATGCAGCGGCTGAGCGGGAGAAGGGCCCTGGGGCTGCGCTCCGCTGGGGGTGCCTCCAGGACCAGGAGGTAGCCTCCATCGTCTTTAAGAGCAGGAATCTGGGCGCGGCCCCAGCCTCTCCCGGGGGTCCTCAGGCCGGGGCGGGAGGTGGTGGGTGGGGGCGGACGCCAAGATCGCCCCAGGGCACACACCTATCGCCAGCTCCGCACCTTTTCAGCCCCCGACGGGCACACGAGGCCCAGAGAAGGGCAGCCGGGGGCCCGTCCCTCCCCTCCCCTGACCCTGGCTGGGAAAGGGGCCCCGAGCTCCCCGGGGCTCCGGAAACTCCGGGCCCTCGCAGGCAGCCGAGCAGGGCGGCCGCCGGGGTCACCGCGGGGCGCCGCCGGGGCTTTAATTCGATCCATGTGCGGGACGCCGGCCCTTTGTGCGGGAGCTTCCGCCCAGCGCGCCCGTTCCCGGAGCCCGCTCCCGGGCTGGGACTCGACCCTCCGCCGCCCCCACTGAGCCCTCGCCCCGGACCCGCCGACCCCCCGACTCCGGGGACAGATACCAAAAGAGACGGGGACGCAAAGGACGTGAGGACCGCACCGCCAACCCGCAGGCCCCTCCAAGGGCGCCGTGCCGGGACTCCCGGCTGGGCACCAGGCGGGCTCCGGCCGAGCGCTGTCACCTGTGTCCGACGGGGGCAGGGACGGAGGAACGCCACCCCCACCCACCCGGCCCGCTTACCTGGGCCGCCCGCGCCCCTGCGGCTCCGATCCAACGCCCGGGCCAGCGGAGTCTGGAGCTGCGGGGCCTCCCGCCCCCTCCGCCCGTCCGCCCTCCCCGCCCCCTCGGCTCCCTCCGCCCCGCCGCCCCGCGCCGCGTTACCATAAAAGGTGAGGCTCGGTGGGGAGGGGGCGCGGGGTTCCCGCCCCGCAGAAGCGGTTCTTACCTGCCCCCCTACCCGCCCCACAACCTGCTGAGCCGCGCCCCGCGCCGCCCCCTCCCCCTCCCTTTGTTTCCTGGACCACGCCTCCCCTCCCCCTTGGCCCAGGCCCGGGGGTGGAGGTTAGGGGGAAGGGGTATGGGGGCAGAGGAATGGGGAGTGGGGTGGGCCTCCTTCCCTCCCCGCTGTCCACCCTCTCGTGTCCTTTATGGACTCCGAGTGGTCCCTGCCCTCCCCCTTCCCTTGCTTTCCTGGGTTGACGCCCCCACCTGCCCTGTCCCGCGTAGGTGAGCTCTGACACCTCCGTTTGGCTCTAGGATCCGCCAGAGTCGCGAGTCAAGCCGATCAGGATTCTGCGGCCCACCGTTCACTAAGCGTGAGACCTGGAGCAGTCACTCCACCTTCTGAGCCTCAGTGTCTTCATCTGTAAAGTGGGAGTAACCACTGCCTACCTCTCCAGATTGGCCTGAGGATAAAAGGTGACCGTCACAGCCAGGACTGTGATTAATAGAGGTTAATATATGCTGGGTTGGGGTTTTTTCCGGGAGTGCCCCTGCGGGTGGGGGTCTCAGAGACCTCCCAGTGGAGCAGGTCACGTTGTTCTGCTGTCCTGAGCTATAAGCCCCCTGCAGGTGGGTCCCCGTGTCCTGGGGGACAGGCCCCTCCAGGAGCTCTGGAAGGCAGAACCCAGCTGGCCCAGTGGCTGAACCCCTCCCTCCACCTCCAGTGACACTCTCCCTCCTAACTGGAGCAGTTAGGACGGTAGGGGGAGGGAAGGCTGAGCCTGGCTCTGGGGCCCAGGATGGGGCTGGGATGGGCCGCCCGGGTCCCTGGAGGCCTCAGGAGCATTGTGGGGAAAGGAATCTGGGTCTGATTCAGAGGCAAACAGATTGTTCTTTTGATTAAAGCCACAGTGGCTGCATCTGGAGGAGCGCTGGACCCAGCGCCATCTGCGGGGCGGCCAGGCAGCATCTGGCCCTCTCCTGCGGCCTCACCCTTCCAGGGTGGCTCTGGGACTGTTTCTGAGGGAGGCTGATTTATAAGGTCGAAGGAGAGTGCCTTCGCCCTCTCCCACCAATCATCGCCCCTCCCATCCCTCGTCACCCCTTTTCCCGTTTGATCCTCACAGTGAAACTGCAGTGACAGCAGCAGTCCCAGCAGCTGCCCTTGGTGGGGGCTTTCTAGGTGCTGGTGCCCATCCTCATCCGCTTCTGAATCCCACAAGAGCCCTGGGCGCCAGGGCTGATGATTCCTCTTCACAGTCAAGGACACGGAGGCCGGCCAAGAGAGGCTCAAGGTTACACTAGGGGCAAATGACAGAGCTGAATTCAAACCAGAGCCGCCGTGTCCCTGGGCACACAGCTCTGCTACTCTCAGGAACAGGTACCACTGCCACCTTTCACAGATTCAGAAGCCGGGGCTTGGAGGTGGTGGGAGTTCTGTGCAGCAGGGCGAGGCTGCAGCTCAAGGCTGTTTGAGCCCCCCCTTGGCTCATTCCTGGCTTGGCAGTGATACCCTGCTGCTCCCAGCCCCAAGCTTTGCAGCACCCATTGGAGGCGACTTCCCCATGCCCTCCACTGCGAGGGAAACACCAAACGCCAGACACAGAAAGGACCCAAAGGACGAAGGTGTGATCTGGGGGTTTTCAGGGGCTTTTGGCTGTAGAACCCCTTTCCAAGTGCTTGATGACCCAGAAGTTTATTTTAGAGATAAAAGTGGAGCTGCCCGTCATCACCTCCATGACATCCCCTGAGCCACCTGCATCCCCAGGTGGGATAGCGGGGCACCAAAGGGTTGATCTGGGGCTTTGTTCAAGGTCACACTGACTCAGTCTAGGACCCAGGCCTCCCACATCTGCTCTGGGACAGTCCAAGGGGAATGAGGGTCCAGCTGCCTCTGCTTACCTGCCTCCAGTACCTTTGGCCGTCTGTTCCACCGCCACACCACTCCTGGATGGAGGGGTGCATCCTGGCCTGCAGCAGCCCGGGTGTCGATGTCACCTATCAGCAGGTGCCAAACTTCCTGCAATGGAAACCCAGGAAGTGCACTGGACAAGAACAGACGCCCTTTGTCTGCCAGCTCGGAAGCCCTGCCGCCCTCCGCTGTCGCTGCCAGGCTCACACCAGCTTTCTCCCCGCTCAGATTGAGCCCCAGCAGGCAAGGGGCTCAATCTTCCCTTAGGATGGCGGCAGCAGAGGCCCTGGGTGGCAGGGAAGGGGTGGGTGAGACGTTTGAGGGAAAGTCTGCTTGTCAGGGCAGGGGTGGCACCTGCCATCCACAGTGGAGAGCTTTGACTTTGCAGACACTGGTCGAGCACCTGCTGTGTGCAATGCATGAGTCAAGGAGCCAGTGGGATCAAGTCAGACATGATCAGTCCTTGTCCCCACAGACCTTACAAGGAGATTGGGTAGACCAAACCATAAGGCAAATTAACATGATAATGACCAATAGTAAAAGGTGCTATGAAGGCAGGGACCAGGGTCTGAGACAAACATGAGTGGGGTGGGGGCAGGGATGGGCGGGAGGGCCTCTCTGAGGAGTTGAGGAGGGTTAAGCTGAGATGGGGAGGAGCCAGTGTGAGAATAGGGACAGAGGGGAGCTTTATTAAAGGTCAGATGCCCCTGGGGCCTCTCAGCTCCTTCCTCTGTCCCTTATTTTCCATCCCCGTTCCTCCACCCTACCTGGTTGGAATCAGGTCAATCCAATGCTTATTTCCTGGGTGCTGCTGTGTGTGGGGCCCTGTGCTAGGCAGGGTGGGAAGAGGAGCAGCACAGACAAGAGGGAGCTCCCCCATGGTGGCGGCGTCAGATGGGGACACAGATACAGTTGTGAGTAACATCAGCATCTGGGAGTGACTCCAGCTCTGCCATTGGCCAGCCTTGGGGAAATCGCTTCTCTCTGGGCCTCAGTTTCCTCTTGCAACTGAGGAGTTACAAACCCAGGTTTGTCCCTTGTGGCTTCATAGCAAGAATCCAGTGGGGTAAATTGTGGGTAAAAATACCTGGTGCTCAGTAGGTGTTCAAAGCTGAGCTCTCCCCACCACATAAAGGATAGAAGTTGTAGTCAGAGGGACAGAGTGCTGAAGGGAAGAGAAGGACGTGACTTTGTCCTGCAAGGGAATCCAAGGGACATCCATGGCCGCTGACAGCCCAGCGCTGCTTTCCCGAATTCTGATAACGGCATTCAGTTTCTGTTTGGGGAAACTTTCCTTCACTCTCAGTGCCTGGGGTTAAGATAAGATTCCTGTCCAGGCACGGTGACTCACACCTGTAATCCCAGCACTTTGGGAGGCTGAGGGGGCAGATCACAAGGTCAGGATTTCGAGGTCAGCCTGGCTAATATGGTGAAACCCCATCTCTACTAAAAAATACAAAAATTAGCTGGACATGATGGTGGGCGCCTGTAGTCCCAGCTACTCGGGAGGCTGAGGCAGGAGAATCGCTTGAGCCTGGGAGGCAGAGGTTGCAGTGAGCTGAGAACATGCTACTGCCCTCCAGCCTAGGTGACAGAGTGAGACTCCATCTCAATCAATCAATCAATCAATAAAATATGAGATTCCTACCTCCCCTGGCTCCGCAGATGTATACATGACCCATGTTCAGCCAATCATGGTGGCTGTTAGTTCTAAGATAAGCTCTCTGGGCTTGTTGGCTGGCAGAATACAAGCTTGGCACCACTTTCGCCCCCCACATGGACCCCCACAGAGGACAGCAGAGCAAAGAGGTAGAGAAAGATAACTGATTTCATCACTTAAGCTGCTGGATCCAGCCATGCCTGCAATCCTACTACCAGACCTCCAGAATCAATGCCCTTTTTGTTTTTTATTCTTTTAAGACAGAGTCTTGCTCTGTTGCCCAGGGTGCAATTTTGGCTTACTGCAACCTCCACCTCCCAATTTCAAGTGATTCTTGTGCCTCCTGAGTAGCTGGGACTACAGGCATATACCACCATGCCTGCCTAATTTTTGTATTTTTTTTAGTAGAGAGGGGGTTACAACATGTTGGCCAGGCTGGTTGTGATTATAGGCTCCCTTACTTTTTCTTAAACCAGTTAAAATTGTGTTTCTGGCCAGGTGTGGTGGCTCCTGCCTGTAGTGCCAGCACTTTGGGAGGCCGAGGTGGGCGGATTATGAGGTCAAAAGTTCCAGACCAGCCTGACCAACATGGTGAAACCTCCACATCTACTAAAAATACAAAAATTAGCCAGGTGTGGTGGCGCATGCCTATAATTCCAGCTGCTCAGGAGGCTGAGGCAGGAGAATTGCTTGAACCCAGGAGGTGGAGGTTGCAGTGAGCCAAGATCACACCACTGCATTCCAGCATGGCGACAGAGCAAGACTCCGTCTCCAAAAAAATAATTGTATTTCTCCAGTCATTTGTTGTGCTTTTTCTTTTTTTCATCTTCTTCTTTTATTTATTTATTTTTTGCCTGAACATAGCTGTAAACTGTTCTGAGATGTTGTGCTTTTTCTCCTGGTTCTAAATAAATAGTCAGTCATGAGTCTGGGCGCGGTGGCTCACACCAGTAATCCCAGCAGTTTGGGAGGCCCAGGCAGGCAGATCACTTGAGGCCAGGGGTTAGATACTAGCCTGGCCAGCATGGTGAAACCCCACCTCCACTAAAAATAGAAAAATTAGCCAGGCATGGTGGTGAGCAGCTGTAGTCCCAGCTACTCAGTAGGCTGAGGCACAACAATCTCGTGAACCTAGAAGGCAGAGATTGCAGTGAGCCGAGATGTCCCCACTGAACTCCAGCTTAAGCGATAGAGCCAGACCTTGTCTCTACTAAAAATACAAAAATTAAGGCCGGGCGCGGTGGCTCAAGCCTGTAATCCCAGCACTTTGGGAGGCCGAGGCGGGTGGATCACGAGGTCAAGAGATCGAGACCATCCTGGTCAACATGGTGAAACCCCGTCTCTACTAAAAATACAAAAAATTAGCTGGGCATGGTGGCACGTGCCTGTAGTCCCAGCTGCTTGGGAGGCTGAGGCAGGAGAATTGCCTGAACCCGGGAGGCGGAGGTTGCAGTGAGCCGAGATCGTGCCATTGCACTCCAGCCTGGGTAACAAGAGTGAAACTCTGTCTCAGAAAAAAAAAAAAAAAAATACAAAAATTAGCTGGGTGTGGTGGTGCACACTTGTAGTCCCAGCTACTTGGGTGGTGGAGACAGGAGAATTGCTTGAATCTGGGTGGTGGAGGTTGCAGTGAACTGAGATTGTGGCACTGCACGTCAGCCTGGGTGACAGTAAGACTCTATCTCAAAATAAATAGGCCAGGCGCGGTCTCTCAGGCCTGTAATCCCAGCACTTGGGGAGGCCAAGGCAGGCGGATCACAAGGTCGGGAGATCAAGACCATCCTGGCCAACATGGTAAAACCCTGTCTCTACTAATAATACAAAAATTAGCTGGGCGTGGTGGCACATGCCTGTAATTCCAGTTACACTGGAGGCTGAGGCAGAAGAATCACTTGAATCCGGGAGATGGAGGTTGCAGTGAGCCAGGATAGCGCCACTGAACTCCAGCCTGGCAATGGAGTGAGGCTCCATCTCAAAAATAAATAAGTACATAAATAAATAAAACAAAAAAATTAGCCAAGTGTGGTGGTGCACACCTGTAGTCCCAGCTACTTGGGAGGCTGAGGTGGGAGGATCACTTGAGCCCTGGAAGTGGAGGTTGCAGTGAGTGAAGATCGATCATGCTACTACATACCAGCCTGGGTAACAGAGCAAGACCTTGTCTTGAAGGACAAGCCAGGCCAGGCACGGTGGCTCACGCCTGTAATCCCAGCACTTTGGGAGGCCGAGGTAGGAGGAACTTGAGGTCAGGAGTCCGAGACTAGCCTGGCCAACATGGCAAAACCCTGTCTCTACTAAAACTACAAAAATTAGCCAGGCGTGGCAGTGGAGGGCGGGTGCCTGTAATCCCAGCTACTCGGGAGGCTGAGGCAGGAGAATCGCTTGAACCTGGATGTGAAGGTTGCAGTGAGCTGAGATCGCACCACTGCACTCCAGCCTGGGTGACAGAGCAAAACTCCATCCAAAAAAAAAAAAAAAAGCAGGCACCCGTACTCCCAGCTCCTCGGGAGGCTGAGGCAGGAGAATTGCTTGAACCCAGGGGGCGGAGGTTGCAGTGAGCCAAGATTGTGCCACTGCACTCCAGCCTGGGCAACAAAGTGAGACTCCGCCAAAATAAAAAAGAAAAAAAAGCCGAGTAGGAATTGACCAGGCTGCAGCTAGAGCCGTATGGTGTCCACTCTCAGGTTTTAAGCCTGTGTCCAACTGCCCCACCCAGGCAGAGCCTAGGTTCCCAAGAGCTGGCTGTGACAATATTGTCTGGGTATTAATCCCCTACTGGTTTAGGGGCCTGAACTGGCTCTGGCCAGGCGTGCTGGTTCCCACAGCCAGGCTGTCCACTCAGCAAATCAGCACAGGCTCCAGGGTGGGGGGTGAGAAGTATGGGACAGGCCAAGGAGGGGCTTGAGGCTCAGCTGACTGAGGGGGCCCTCCTCGCCCTAGGCCTTCCCTGTCCGGGCCCCTCTGTCCCTTATTTGGGAAGATCCCTGAGCCAGCTCCAAACCCTCACTGACCCCAGCTGCCTCCTTGATCCCCCTCCCACTGGGAACCCCCAGTCCCAGCAGCTTCTGTCCCAACATCCGCCCTTGCTGATCTAACTCTGCACCCTCAAGCCCTGAGCCCCTCCTTACTAAAGCACAATGTGGCCTGGAACGTGCCATCACCCCTGTGGGTCTCCCCTTGTCTCTTAGCCAGAGGTGGGCTTATTGTGAAGTTAATAAAACTTATGCTCACGGCCTCACTCCCATGGCCCCTGTGAAGGCTGGGAATTTCTGGGTGTTACAGAATGTTCTAGACCAGGAGGGAAGCTGGTTTTGCTTAGGAAGGGAGTCCATGCAGCGCACCTGGCAAACTGCCCAGGGAGACATCACAAGAGCCCAGATCTTCAAGTCTCCAGACATTAGTTGTACTTCTTCTCCTTGTTCTAAATAGTCACTTTCGGCCAGGCACGGTGGCTCATGCCTGTAATCCCAGTTACTCAGGAGGCTGAGGCAGGAGAGTCGCTTGAACCCGGGAGGCAGAGGTTACAGT